ATAAAAGGAGTACTGTTACATATAGCATTTAAATAGACAAATTCCTAATATCAAAACTAATGTGTTACTTTACATTCTTAATATTTTTCCTAGAAGAATCAGTATAGTGTCTTTAAACTTTGATTGTTTTAGGTGAGCATGTGACTCTTCATACCCTGAAGCAAAAACTAGAGGAAGTGGATGGAATTAATATCTCTATTGCTGCACTTAGCAGAGTTTTAAAGGAATTAAAATTTAGATGGGTAAATTGTAGTGTTGCTAACAGAAAATATTTAATGGAACAACCACATGTGACTTTAAAAAGACTTCAGTTCTTAAAAGCCTATAAGGACAATGAAACCAATGTATACCCTTTAAAACCAGTGTTCTTGGATGAGACCTGGATATTCAGCAAAAGAGGATTCCGCAAGAGCTGGCAAGATGGCACTGTTAATGCAGTCAGGAAGAAGAATGGAGAAGGTGTACGATACATTATTCTTAATGCAGGTTCTGAAAATGGATTCATAGAGTTCCCAAGAAAGACCAATGTGAGCAGTGCGTAGGCTACGAAAATTGCATTGGGAAAGAAAAGGAAGCATTAAAGACCTCATACGAGCAACATATACTCGAAAAGGATTTAGTACGATCAGAAATGGAAATGGATAGAAAAAGTGGCGAAAATGTGCATGTAGCTGTTTATGACTTACAAGGAATCCTTGCATGTCCACAGGGCGATGCGTCAGGATTTTACTACGTGTCAAAGCTCTCTGTATACAACTTCACAGTATATGACTTAAAAAATAATGAAGTTAGCTGCTTCGTGTGGCATGAGGGAGAAGGTCAACGTGGAATAAGTGAAATTGGGACGTGCATTTATACTTATCTACAAAGTCTAAATGCAAAAGGTCAACAACTTGATGTAATATTTTACACAGACAACTGTTGTGGGCAACACAAAAACTATCCAATGTTTAACTTATATAAATATGCGGTGGATACCTTACCGTATTTAAAGTCTATAACCCATAAATTTCTCATAAAGGGCCATACTCAAAATAAATTAGATTTAGCCCATTCACTCATTGAAAAGAAAGTAAAAGTTATAAGAACTTTTTGAACTTAAAGTCATTGTCTGATGTGATTCCACAAGGGATTATCAAAATTCGAGAATTGCGCATTATTCATTTAACAACTGTAAAAAGTAGAATGTATAGATTCATTTGGATCTGAGTATTCCTCCATACCAATAAAACGAAAAGCCAAAAGCAAATTCAAAGTTATATTACCAGCATATCCCAAAAAACCAAAAATAAATGAAAAAAAGAAGACTGGGATTATGTCTCTATTCGAAAAAAACATCATTCGATCTTACTATAGGCCCTTTTATGAGGGATTTGCTCATTCAGCTAATGTTTCAATAAAATAACATTTTCAAATTTGTCATAGTCTTATTTCTACAAAACCTTCGCATTTTTTTTTTAGATGAAAAGTGACACTTTTGACCAGAACTAGAAAAATATTGGGTAATTTACCGTCAGTATAAGTACAGGTTGTAAAGACCATTCCGAGGCACCACACTGCCAAGGTTCTACAGTAAATTGTTATTGTATGGAGCTACAAGTTGAAATTAAAAAACCGACGTGACATTAAAATGGGAATATCTCAGAACTAGTTTTTTTTGAAATGTGGCACTTTTCTCGTGCATAAGCGATATGTTAAAAAATATCCTAATGCGGTAACTTTCGTATCCTAGTACAGTAAAACCTCCCTTAACCGAAACCGTTTTAACCGAAACATCGTTTAACCAAAACGGATTCAGTTCAGTTTCAATAATTTCGTCAATAAAAAGTAAATTTTTGTCGCAAAACGTAAACAAAACCATTAATTTCACTCACCGATTGATGCTGTGTGTGTTGGGAAATCGAAAAAACCAAGAGCTCTAAAATATATTTCCGAAAAAGCACTTCCAGTTTTTTATAGAAGCCAAAAAAGCTCATGGATGTAGACCACTTTATTTTTAGAATGGTTGGAAAATGAATTCGTCCCAAGTGTAACATCCTTTTTAAAATCAAAAAATCTTTTAATCAAAGTATTGTTGCTTGTTGAGAATGCGCCAACTCACCTTCAAAATCTACAAAATGGTGACAATTGTCAGATTTTTGCCACCGAATGTCACGAGCTTAATTCAGCCGTTGGACCAGGGAGTAATAGAAACATTCAAGAGACATTATAGAGGAGCATTCTTAAGACATCTGTTATTACAGGAGATGAATGAATCCAAAAGTGTTCCCGAAATTCACAAATGTTTAACAATGAAACATGTTGTTTATTGGTATATGTGCTATATCGTTCTTCATCCAGACAACATCAGATGACGACCCAATTGCCAGACAACAGGCAGCACGAGACCTCGACGAGATTTTCAATGCCTTAGAGATATTTCTAGATTCTTAATTTTTGTTGTCGTTGCATAAAGTTTTTTCCTTTTTAGATTGCTTTACGTTTCGTCCAACAATCAAATGGGGCAAACTATGGCGCTCTGCAAATGAACGATGGAGAGATATAGCTTCAAAACATTATTGTCGAATGAAAACGCAAAATAAAATAGATCTTTAAAAAAGCATGTTAAACTTGTTTATTTTCTTTTATTTTATTTTATTCTGTATTTACTTTTAAGAAAACATTACGAAATCACCTAAGAGTATTTTTTAATACTAATACTTTGACCAAATATACTATAAAAAACTGTTATTTTTAACCGAAATTCTTGTTATCCGAAACGGCTTCCCCCCAATTATTTCGGTTAATGGAGGTTTTACTGTATTTTAGTTTTTAAAATCAACTTTTATATTTCAGAATTTTCCTGAAAATGCTGGCCGCCTTAAACCAACATTTACTGAAGAACAACTAAATCAATTTCAAAAATATGTGATGGATATAGATAAACGGGAATTTGGATTAACCACGGATTAGTTTAGAAAAATTGCTTTCGACTTTACCGTTCATTGTGGTGTTGCTGATAGATTTAACACTACAAAGAAAATGGTTGGTAAAGACTTTACACAATCCTTTATGAAGAAATTTAATCTATCAATCCGTAAACCAGAAGCAACTTCCGCTACTAGATTAATGGCTTTTAATAAAGTTAATGTGGAGACTTTCTGTAAAGTATACAAAGAATTTCATCAAAAATATTCATATTCTGCCAATCAAATTTACAACATTGATGAAACCGGTTTTTCTTCAGTACCTACCAAGGATCCTAAAATATTAACCCCAAGAGGCAACCGTCGAGTTGTGAAAATTTCTTCCGCAGAAAGAGGAGTTAACGTGACTGCTCTTTGTGCATGAATACCGTTGGAAATTTTATACCACCGTTCCTAATATTTCCAAGAGTAAAAATGCAACCAGCTCTTAAAAATGGAGCGCCCAAAGGGACCATGGCAATAGCTTATCCTTCTGGATGGACGACTTCTGAAAATTTTGTTAAATATTTGGAACATTTTTTTTTAATAATTTTGATAAAACCTGCAACAGCGTATATAAGCGGTGTCATAGGTGCATTAAGGAAGGTGGTCTGCAGTTTGAACACAAACAGTAACTTTACAACCATAATTACTTTAATAATTAATCAAATCAATAAATTAGTTTTTTTATTTGGTATGCAAATTGGTTAACTGACTTATGTCCATCCCTGTATATTATAAACGATATAACTTGTTTTAAATATTTATTATTATCACTTCCATGTACATACCATCTTTTGTGATTATTATTTTTATTATTAACTATGATCTATAATAAGTGACAAGCAGCCAAGCCCCCACCCTTTGTGTCACAAGATTCAAGAATTGTCCGTTGTGTAATTTTCATTCAAGTTATGTTGCAGAATTGCACACTCACTTTCAAGAAGAACACAACCTAATCCTAGAAAGTGAAACACTTATATTTTCCAATTTAGCCTCTTTTCAGAAGTGGAAATGTTCTATTGAAAGTAGTACAAAAACAAAATACTTTTACTAGATAACTTTTCCGCAGACTCACAAAACAATGAAGTTTCTGTGTCATAGGTCAGGCTGCTTTAATTGTGAAAGGAACAGAAAGAGGCATTTAAAAATGAAAGGCAGTATAAAAATTGATGGATTTTGCCTAGCAGGTCTTACGGTTGTAGTATATTTGGCAGAAAAAGTTGAAGTCAATTTTATACAAACACACATTGGACATTAAACTGATATTGGACAGTTATTTTTAAGTATATCTGAACGTCAATCTATTGCTGATATTTGATTGTGGTTATTATTTTTATTATATAACACCATAACAAATAATAACAACTATGATCTATAATAATAATAAGTGACAAGCAGACAAGCCCTCCCTCTCCCTTTGTGTTACTGTCTCTGTCTACTGTCTTGTCACTTGTTGCCAACTCACAATAAGATAATATTTATAATATGTGAGACCTCTACTTGCAAACCAATTTCCACTATTTGGGCAATCTCACCTGCATACGCCACTGGATTCCTTGTAAAAAGACGCATCCCATTATGCATAAATTTCGTAACATAACTACCAAACTCCCATTGAAATTAAATAGAGAAAATTGGTTGTTGTTTCAAAACGACCATTCTCCAAGGTCGTGTAGGATTCAAAACAACCAATATCCCTCTGCACCAATCAGAGCGCTGGATTGTATCACGTGGTCGGTGATTTTTAAGATGGCGATCGTACTAGTGTCAAAGCTAAGAAAACGAACATTATTTTCTAATGTTTTTGAATTTTAATATAAATTGGAGAGCACACCAGAGGTATTACCCCATTTATGACCAGTGGTCAATTTATTGGACCCATAGCTTTTTTCGGTACAGAACCCCCACATGAAAAAATAGCAGTGCGCCCATGGTTTTGTTTAGCTTTGAAGCCTTGGTCGACCAGCACTCGTCAGCCATTTCGCGCAAGTACGTTAAACAGATAAACGTTGTGTGGCATTTTAATTACGTTTTGAGTTTTTGTAATTTATCATGGCAGTGATGAAAAACTGTAAAGTAAATACAATTTATTTGGATGGTTATTTTAAGTATGTTGATTACTACCATTAGTATACTTTATTAAACAAATAACTAGTGCATATATTCTGTAAAAGAATAGTTTCACATCTTTGATTATCAGTGTGTGGAATGACGTTGGCTCAACTTTAGTTGCCTCTGGGTGCGTTTGTTGGGTATCAGTTTTAAATATGATTTTTTTGTTGCAGATATTCTCGCGCGAAAAGTCGGAAAGGGATTATTATTCCACGACTTATTAGATGCTTTAGAAGATGATGATGTAACAGTTCCTGTACTATAGTATTATGTCCCCAGATGAACCGACAGATGCATAAACAGATAAAGATTCTGATAGGCCGATGAGAAAGCTACGGGTGATGTTGATCATCTGCGGCACGAATTCTAAGTTCTAAGGTTTTAGTGAAATACGCAGAAGAGGGAACGATTTGATGACTAGGAATTCATAGTGACGATTCTGATAGTTATTATTTCGAGTATTCAGGCCAGTACCTCCCGAGAAAACTTTTTAGACGTAAACGCAAGGCTCCTGTACTAAACTACTATGAAAGGTTCACCAAAAAACAGTTCGTAAGGCGAAAAAAAAAATCCTCTATCTGAAAAATATAACAGCGGTATTTACTGTCAAAAAATACCAGAATTTATTGAAGAATTTCGGCTACTACGAAGATTTTCTAAAAGTATCAATCAAATGTCCGTTGGATGTCTTTTAGGGCTTATTTCACTGATGAAGTGTTACATCAATTGTGACAGAACAAATCTGTTACGCTGGTCAGAAATTAGTGCTTTTAATTTGAACGCTATCAGGAGGTATTTATGTCATTTGTAGGCATTATGCTTTATTGGGTTTATCACCCACTTCAAACAGTAAGATTGTAATGGACAAACAAGACCCGATGTTCTAAAACCTTAGTTTCCGATTCATGCGACGACTCGTTTGACGAGCTGATGAGTTTTATTCACTGGCAGTTAACCAAACCCCAAGTTGTCACAGACCTCTGTATAAAGTTCGTTCCATTATTTGATCTCTAATCCCCATTTTCAAAAACAAATCTCGACAGGTCCGAAAATTGCATTGACGAAAGTATGATTCCTTATTATGGAAGGCATAACAATAAACGAATTTATAAAGGTAAGCCAATTCGATTCGGATACATGTTATGGGTTGCTGCAGAAATCCTTGTGGGTACGTTTTTATCATGCTGAAAACCTTACTGTGGTAGTGCAACAGTTTACCTAAAACGATTTAGGAAGAATGGAACGAGATCTATATTTTTGACAATTTTTACATCCGTTGGTTGGATGAACGAAATGCGTCATGAGGGACTTGGTGGTACTGGTACCTTGAGAGAAATCGATGCAATGATATCATGAAAACTTCCAGAAAAAAGTCAATTAAAAAAAAATCCCAAGGACAACTTGCAAATCATCCACAGATATTTTTTATTGGTTCGATGGAATGATAATAGGTTGTGACTGTGCTTCCAACTGTGACCAATAAATCCAATGAAGAAATCCAATCTTATAGCAGAAGCGAAAAGAAAAAAATTTCTGTAGATTGTTCCTGGGGCCTATATCAACACTTTAATAGTAATTTGGGAGGTGTTGATATATCTGACCAATTTTTGGCAACATAACGTTGCAGAATTACGATCAAAAAAAAGGTGGTGGCCGTACTTTTTCATGGGCTATAGAGATGGGTTGTTGTTCAAAGTTGGCTTCTGTATCGTCGTTCTTGGTCATGAGAATTCCCCTTCTTCACTTTAAACGACATGCCGTTATTAAAATTTGAAACATTCGGCACTGCCACTCATGCACCGGGTGTCAGATGTCATCATTGCAGTTTTCACCTGCTCTTGAAGAAATCCGCAAGGATGGTAAAACAACTGTGATCGACTAGGGATCTTCAAAGTACCGTCGGTGTAAGATTTTGTGGAAGTCGTACTTCCTTCTTATGTTCAAAAGTGTCAAATACCTCTCCATCCAGCTAATTGTTTTAACGTGTTTCATGAGAAATAATTTTTTATTCTCTGTTTTTTTGTCCCCTTTAACTCCCAGTGTCTACTAAAGTTGCAGTCAAAAAATCACTCATCTGTCAAACAATTTTTTTTCTCATTCGATATATATATTTTTATTAATCCATTTTCCAACAACGTCCACAAAAAAAATAACAGGCAATGTCAACCTAGGGGAACCTATGGGGCACTTTAATGGGTTTACACCTTTAAAGTGCTGAAAAAAGAATCGCAAAAACTAGAGAAATGGGCGAGAAATGTGAGAAAACGGCTAAGGCTATTATATTTTTAAATCTATATAGAAGAAAAAATGTCGTCTGTCGTGAGTGCAACATGCTTCGCAGTTTTGTTAAAATGCAGGGAACATGTATAATTTTCATCGTTTTTTACATTCAAATAATGATTTACATATAATTACCAAATATTTAGAATAGAATGTGAATTTAATTTATTTGTAGGTATGGGGAAACGAAGGCGCCTAAAATGCCAACATGCAAGCATGACGGGAGAGCCTACCAGTGCACAAAACTCAATATTGCGGATGTGATGGCATTTTATAAAGCTTTTCATAAAAATGAAGAGAAAGTTGAACAAGACACCTTTATACTGCCATTCCTAGATTTAAACCCTGTTCGCAGACGTCGCCCAAAAACTGGAGTAAATCGTAATAAGACAACTACATGCAAGTGTTTCATAAAAGGTCCAGATGGCAAGTTACCCGTTTGTCAAAAGACTTTCACCAATGCCTTGAGGATCACAACTACTCCGGGCCGACTCCGAACTATAATGAACAATTTTAGAGAGGAAAGTAATCTTCCATGCGAGAAAAGGGGAGAAGACAAACGAACGCATTTATATAAAGAGAAACTGAGAAGCGTGGTCGAATTTATTAAAAGTATAAAATGCGTGGAGTCTCATTACTGTAGGGGTCGAAGTGAGCGCAAGTATGCATCAGGTGATCTGAGCATTAATAAACTGTGGAAAATTTACAACGCTCAAGCTAAACCAGAGAGACAGGTAAAAAAAGGATATTTTCGAACGATTTTTATTAGAAAATTCAACATTTCATATCATTATATAAAAACATGTCTTCAGGAAGCAGCAACAGAGGCTATCGAACTCCAAGTAAAAAACCACAGAAAAACTTGGTATTGGTGGGACGAAGAAATAGAACAAGAGATTAAAAATAAAAGAGAGAAGTATAAAAAATTTCTGAACAAAAGTACCGACGCTGATAAGGTAGAATACAAGAGGACCCAAGCTAAAGTGCGAAAAATGATATGCCAAAAGAAGAATGAGGCTTGGGAGCAAAAGTGTAACATGATTAACACACATTTAGGAGGACGGAGAAGTACAGAAAGTTGGAAAGTATTAAAATCGCTAGGACAGGAAAAGAAAAGAGATATAATATCATCAATCACACCGGATCAATGGGACGAATATTTTAAAAAACTCCTAAATGAGGACAGAGCGGAATTTTTTAATAACAGTGATACCAGCAACGTAAATATCTTAGCCTCATCATTACGAATAACAACAAAAGAAGTAGAAGAAGTATGTAAGTCTTTAAAAAATAACAAAGCACCAGGACCAGGGAACATACCAGCTGAACTAATAAAATATGGCACAACAAAATTATATGAAAATCTGGATAAACTCTTTCAAAGATACATCAACGGAGCGGAAATCCCAGAAGAATGGAAAACATCATGGATATCCACCATACATAAAAAAGGCAGACGGGATTAATGTGACAACTACAGAGGCATCGCTGTAACGAACTCGATCAGCCGAATATACGGAAAACTGATTAAAAATAAAATCGAAAACGAATATAAAGATATAGAAGCTGAAGAACAGGCAGGATTCCGGGCAGGGAGATCAACGGTAGACCATCTGTTTTGTATTACACAGATTATTATTGAGAAGAAACTGGCCGTCAACCAGTGCATCTGTTATATGTGGACTTGAGAAAAGCGTATGATAGCATCCCACAAAACAAACTATGGGAAGCATTAGAGAAAACCAATATAAACGCAAATTTAATAACAGCGACGAAACAATTGTATACCAAAACTGCAGCAAGGGTGAAAGTTGGAAGCGGACTATCGAGAGGATTCCAAATTAGCAAAGGCCTAAAACAAGGGTGCTGCCTTTCACCGACATTATTTAAGATCTACCTCGAGCAAACTCTAAAACTTTGGAAACACAAATGCAAAAACATGGGATTACCGATCAACAACAATACAATATACACTTTGTCATTTGCAGACGACCAACTTGTACTAGCGCAAGACTACGATGATATAGAATATATGACAAGGAAATTAATAGAGGAGTACAAAAAAGGTGGTTTGGAAATAAACATAAAAAAGACCGAATATATGTGTATCGGTGGGACACAGCAGGACCTTACACTGGGGAATGGCGAAATTATTAAACATTGCGACGCATATAAATACCTGGGTATGACCATCACACAAAAAGGAAACGTAGACCGGACGATAGAAGAAAGAAACAACCAGGGAAGAAAAGCAATTACCCTTCTCAATAGCATACTGTGGTACCAGGCAATATCAAACAACAACAAACATAGAATATACAATACAATTGTTAAGAGTATAATCACTTACAGCAGTGAAGTATGGCAAATAAAAGAAAGATACAAGAGAAAACTTGAAGCAACAGAAATGGATTTCTGGAGGCGCTCAGCAGGAAAATCAAGATTAGAAAGGGTAACCAACAACAGAATTAGGGAAATAATGAATGTGAAACACACAATAGTAGATTGCATTAGTACTAAACAGCTTAGATGGTATGGACACGTACAAAGAATGTCCGAAGAACGACTCCCGAAACAAATCCTAACGTGGGCCCCTCACGGTAGACGAAAAAGAGGAAGACCCCGCCTTAGTTGGAGAGAAGGCATAAATCGAAGTATGAGAGAAAGATAATTAGATGAAGACCTTTGGATGGACCGAAGTGAACGGCGACTAGGCATCGGAAGACGTAGGAGAACGTTTTAAAACCGATATATATATATATATATATATATATATATATATATATATATATTATATATATATATATATATATATAATTTCATTTAAGGCGCCACAGAAGCAATCCTTCATGGCCGCTAAAAGAATTAACAAGCTTAGAGCGAAAGCATTTTTGGCATTATTGAAGGAATCTAAGCCCTATTTATTGACTTTATTATTTGACTTGCAAAAAAACCTTCCGCTGCCTAAAGTCCCGGATCAAGCAGCGTACTACAGCAGACGGCTGTATGTACATATCTTAACAACCGTAGTGGGACATGCTAAAGTCACATTAACGAAAGAAAATTGTTTTAGCTATGTATGGTCAGAGGATGAGTATGGCAAGGGCTCTAATCAAGTGGCTTCAGCAATGTATCACAGGCTGTC